TTATCTACAAAACTTACACTATGATTTAAGATGTTTGTATGATTTGTCCAATTTTGTCCAAAAAATGGATGGAAATAACCTTCAACTTCTCCATATGGAAAGCCGGGTTGATGATTTTTCTGTGTTTAGTCCATTGCTCACCATCAAGGGTAGTCAGTCCATTGGCTACCAACTTGATAAATGGATTTGACTTGGTCTTTTGATAGTTGAAATTCTTAGACAAGACTTCCTTTACAAGTTCAGGGTCCACGATGTTAACATTTGGTATTGGTCCAAACCACGTAAAAGACTTCTTTCCTGCAACTTAAAACTGAACACGTCAAACAGAAGTTCAAGAGCGATCAAATAAATATTCCTTGAACAAATTGAAGATATATATATATATATATATATATATACACGTAAATTGTGAAGTTCATAAAGCAATATATATATACTATGCAATGAAACAAACAAAAAATATGGATTAAAAACACACACAAAAAAATTATATTTCAAAATTCAAAATAATAAAGAGTTGCCCCTTTCACTCCAAATCAAAACATAGAGAGATGTGATGAAACGCACCGTAGTTGGAGATGTTGGTATGAATGAAGGGCAAGACACGACTAGGCACTGCGTCATCGGAGATGCTGATGCGAGTGGAGCTAGCTTCTTTATCCATGGCGGAGCTCTCTTTTAGGTCTCCGAAGAAGAGCTTGTATGAGTTTCCATTGAGACCTTGTTTTCTGAGGCAACTCTCTAGCTTCTTCGGTCTTAACCATACCCAATTCAATATTCTCCATGATCCCCATATCAAGCTCAATAATACTACACCAATTATACCACATCCGATTGCACCAGACGATTCATTTATTATCTCCATATGTGTACCCATGAGAGTTCACACACAGACACAGAAAATGAGAGAAAGAAGCTTGGAATTGGATACCCAGAGAGCAGGGTATCAGACTGATATATGTAGAGGTAGAATTGATGGCAATGCTTGATGCACAAGCATGGTGATGTGATGATTACACCCCAAATTTGACAATTTTGTTGGTGTAAAAGTCATTGTTGACTCTACTGACCATTATTATTATTATTATTATTATTATTATTATTATTATTTTGGGTAGATGGGAAAATTCTATGACCATTATATGAAAGTGCCAAAATGCAGGGAGCATCTATTTACGCACACCATTCTCTCTTTATACACATCCTTCACACACAACTTTTCAGCACATTCTCTCATTAAGGTCATGTTTGTTTGGGTGGACATGAGCTTGGGATTAGACTAATAGTCCAATAAAATTATTAATCTGATGTTTGGTTAAACAATTGAAGTACGGACTAATTATTTTAAACTTGACTATTAGTTAAGATAGGATACATAATCCAACAGATTCGTAATCCTAGGACTATTAGTCATGGGAATGCTAATTTAGTCCGCCCAAACAAACATGGCCTAAGTGTGTGGGAAGAGGGGATATGGTGTGTGCATATAGAAGCTCCCCAAAATGCAATGAACCTAAATGCATGAAATGCCAAACATGCCCTTATTGCAACTCTGTTGTTCCTATGTGAAGTTCTTTTCATGTTTTCCTAATACAAAACTCGCACATGTTGCCGACTATGTGTTTTGACAATATACCTAAATGGCCACCATGTTATGAACCCGGGAAATTCTAATATATAAAAGATACACTGTACACACTTTTAATTATATGTTTTTAATTATGATTAATTTTCTTTTTTAATTATGATATTATTTTAGTTATGACAAAAAAAAATTTTAATTATGTTTAGTTATGATATTTTTTTTTTCTTTTTTTAGTTATGATTTAGAAAATTAAAATTATGTCAATTTTTTTTTTTTTAATTATAAAATGCATAAGATATGTATCATAGTATTTTCCTGTCACACACAAATCATGGACCATACAAATAAAAAATAAAAACTTGAATTGTTTTGGAAATTGTTGAGATGTCTTCAGATTGTATCCACAAAGTTGCTTTGATATGTTTATGCACGTGTTTAATATTTAGTGCTCTTTGAATTGGTCTATAAATACAATTTGTCCTGTGCTTTGCCCTAAAACATGAGAGAGGAGTCTTCTACATATAAAAAACATAAATTTTCTACAAGGATATCCAGCCCTACACGTGGGTGAAGATGCATGCATCTGTGCACACAGCTGGCACAAAATATCTGCAAAAGAAACTAGTGGCTGGCAAGCCACATCAGTGGCCGGCAGCCCAAAAGTGATGGCCGGCAACCCATAAGGGTGGCCAGCAGGCCACCAAGGGTTGTAGGCTTGAAGGACCAAAGCTAGGTCCAAGAAAAAGGCAACAAGGGTGCAGGGTTTGAAAGGCTCAAAGTTGTGACATTCCGCTGAGGACTTCGAGCACTTGGCGAGCATATAAACTCATCATCGGGTGTGCATACGATGGTGTCTAAATCGTAAGGGCCGTCAAAAATAGAGTGTCTACACTGTCCCTTATCTTTGTTGTCGGTATCTACATTGGGCTAGAAGCCACTATGGTCGGGGTTTGGGTGGAAATCTAACCACCCGTAAACCTTTATCAGGCTAAGGCTTACTAGTGCATTAAAATGTATAGGATCTATAGCTATTTAAGTATATCACATAAAACTAACTCAAAATTTATCCAAAAAATAAAATAAAATAAAATAAAATTAGAAATTGATGCGATCAAGAGTGGGCCAGGCCAGGTTAGGATGAAATGGCCTTTTCAACACATCATGTTCCATCTGAAATGTAGTTTGTCATTAGTTTCTCAGAATATGTATGTACATAAGACTAAATGCATTGCAGAGATGGATGTACCAAGGAGGTGTCAATTCTCGTGGTGGGCAGGCATGTCATTAATATGAGCAAAATCACCCAAGGCCATATGACAATAATAATTTAAGACTACACAAGGGGGTTAGTATTATAATGACCCCCACATATCTTCACAAATAATTTATTTTTTCCTTTCTTCTATCTCCTTTTTTTGAACTTGGAAATGCAAGTTATGATTGGAATTTGTGGGATCATGGTCTTAAAATTTAAGATGATATGCTAATATTCGAAGCTTTCAAACCAACAAGAAACAATTTCGTTCCAACAAAACATACACTATGTAAAAGAAGATATATGTGAATCAAATAGGAAGTTCATTGATGTAATTTCAAGATAGTAGAAAGTATATGAAGTCAAACATTAATGAAAGGACTAATAAAATAATACCAAAGCATTTTCCTCAAATACATAGAAGAAATCCATCTCAATCCTGTGCAAAGACTCGGCTTCAAAGTTTGTGTAGAATCAAGTGAGCACCATATTGAGGCTGAAGAGTTCCCATAGTGAACGGAGCATGAGTATAGGATGGTGAAAGCTCAAAAGAGAATTGTTGTAGAATCGTAGCTATGGCCATCTTGGCTTCTAACATTGCGAAGTTTTGTCCAATACATACCCGAGGTCCTGAACTAAATGGGAAAAATGAAGCTTGGTTGTTCATTGTTGCCTTCGACACTCCTTCTGAAAACCTCTCTGGCTTGAACTCTTTTGCATCCTCACCCCAAATTTCACCGTCATAATGAAGTAGCATTACCTGTAAAGAAAGTAGGACTCCCTCTGGGAGGGTGATTCCTCCTAATTTCATATCTTCATGGACCACTCGTGGTAACCAAACTATCGGTGGGTATAACCGTAAAACTTCATACAAAATCATAGTCACCTGAGGAACAGAAATTTTAAAGATCACATTTAATTAAATTTAAATGAAGTGAAACATTGTGCATACAAAATATTTTTCTTTCC